TGGTGAGGCATCATCAGTGGTCACATAGTTCCTAGAGAAAGTCACAGAAACCCATTTCCTTAGAACAAATGTTTTCACCTTCTCCAATGAGTTCTTCAACACGTCAGGTAAAAATATTTGCCCCCTCTTCCACATAAGCCTTGTGCTCCATCAGGAACTGGACCTGGAAGCTCAACAATGCTCAGCCAACTCTGCCCCTGTACAAAGACCCATTGAGACTAGTTCATCATGGATTAAAGTGTTTTGAATGTAATAAGCAAGCACTGGACTATACTGCCCTATCAGTCCATTATTGAGAGAACTTTGGAGGACAATGAGGAACTGGTAAGTCACTTGTAAAGGTCCAACATATTTTCTATTGGGCTTACATTAAAATTAAAGATTGACAAACAATGAAGATCAAATGTAGGTTAAGCCAGACTTAAGAGATCAGTTACAACAATTATTTTCAGTATTGTATACCTACACACATACATACAGATTCTCTCTCCCTCTCTCTCTCCTGTGCCTGTAGTTCCTTTATTATAATTGTATTATCATTATTACAATGCTATATTGTGTTTAAGATGTTTTAGAGACTATGGAAGTGTTTCTTAACTGTTCTATATATATAAAGCATTTGGCTTACTAATGTAATCTAACGTACATTCAAATTCAACCTAAGGACATTCTCAGGAATGGAACTAGGTTCTTAACCTGGGGACTATATGTATTTATTATTTTCATCTTGCTTCCCTAATGTTAGGTTGCATTTAAAGATAAAATACTTAAGAATGTTAATATGTTAAGAAGCATGAAATATTACAAATAAATATAGTGTATTAACTTACTATAAAAGATTTGCATACATCAAAAGTCAAATTTTTCTCATTTAAATAAAAAATACATTTCAGATACTCTGATAATCTTACTTGCATTTTTTACTCTGTATAAAAAATACTCCAAGTTGGCCTACTCACTATGCATTGCTTTAGATTAAACATGCATATTATGGAAAATCCTCCACCCTTCAGCTCTCTAAATCTAGTCCAAAGTGCATCTAATTGTAATTCTAAATTGTTAGGTGCAAGTCTGTAAACATAAATATACAAAGTTTCAATTATATATACACATGTATTATGTTTAAATTGCCACACAGTCACTGAACTCACTCCTGAAAGGGTCCATCAAGTTACAAAATAAAATAGCATGCCTGTTCTCATGTCTTTTAAAATCAATTTTGGTGGATGCCTGTAACCATCTGTAAATGCTACAGGCATCAAATCTCACAAAAAACTGAACATTGGTGGCATCAGTTTTTTTCCGGGGCGTGGGGGGGGGGACATATGCAAGAGATCTGTCATACAGACACAGAAAATGTCCTTACACCAAGTGAGATAAATGGTCTATTTAGTTCAGTATTATCTCCTCTAACTGGCTGTTTTCCAACTTCTTAGATACATTTTTTCAAACTTGTGAATCTCAGATGCTTTTCAACTGAAGATGCCAAAACCTAATTTATGCATATGCTGTACCATCAAGCTAAAGGTCCCTCTAAAAAATTGCCAACTTCCGTTGTGCCTTTTACATTTTTATACATCATGGCATAGAAATATAAAAGGCCATGCTGGTTCAGACCAAAGTCCATTTGGTCCAGTATTGTTTTCGCAGAGGCCAACTAGCTGCCCATTTGGAAACTCACAGAGTATGAGTAAAATATCACCCAGCAGCCCATATTTTCCACCAGCTGCTTACATAGGCATACCACCTCTGATACTGGAAGCAGCATATAACTTATCCTCCAAAAGTTTAACCAGTCCCTTTACAGAACCATCTAAACTGATGGTCTCCATGTAGTGACTTTCATAATTTAACCTTGCATTGTGTTTAGAAGTACTTCCTTTTATCTGTCCAAAATCTCCCTAGGTTCTGTTATTATAAAAATGGCAAAATCTATCTCCCTATCTACATTTTCTACACCAAGCATAGCTTGGCATATTCCTATCATGTCTATTCTCATTCACCTTTTTGCTAAGTTAAACAGCCCCAGATTCTTTTGGAATTCCCCCACTTTATCAACAACTAAGTGGACAGGTTTTATTAGGTGCTATTATCATAACAACTAATATATAACATTTATATTTCACTTTTCTTCCTCTTTCAAGGAACCCAAAAGTAGCTTACACAATTAGGCAGAGATTCCATGTCAAGCCCAAAGTTACCCAGTGAATTCCATGGTTGAGTGATGACTTGACCCCAGATTTCCCAAGTCCCATTCCAACACTCTTAACAACCATGCAACACAGATCTTTAAATGAGGACCATACATTCATTTTAAAGTCAGTAGCTCACATCTATTTCTATTGTGTGCTTTCTGATGGGTTGTTCTTACAGTATTTGGGGGGGAGGGGGAAGCAGAGAAGGTATCTCAATAAATTCTTTGAGTCTACCGAATTGATATATGCAGCACGATTCATATTGTGTGGTATCACACAACCCTGCCACTAGGTAGTGGACATTCTACTGTCCATATAATCCAGTCTTGTCCTAAACTCAACTTGTTACAATAGCACATCTTTCAATCTGCCTGCATTTTCTTTACCACCATCTACCCACAATTCTCTACCCTAAGCCACACATACCACATGTGGGAAACCCTCCTTTTATCCTCTGGCACGCTGAAAAGTTACACTGAGCAGAGGTAAGAGGAGCAATGTGTTCCCTTTCACACAGTTTTGAGGACAGGTGATGCAGAGCAGACTTGGTTTCTTTGACTGCGAAACCATCGCACAAACAAGTTGCAGCTGCAATTGAAACTGGCTGCCTGACTGGTCAGCTATTATCTCCCTTTGGAAAGGACAGGAAGGAAGATTTGGTGAAGCTGGGCCACGTAGCGACAATTTCCAAGAAAACAGACCCGCAAAGTATAGCAGATTCTTCGAGTCACACTTGCTCGCTGGCAACCCAAGTAGATTTAGTCCGGTCCAGAGAAAGGGGGAAGCAAGAAAAGAGCACTGCATTTTGCATGAGCAGCTGCTGCCTCTGTATTTCGCTAGTGCTCTCTGCGTGGCAGGGAGGCCTGGGCCCAGAAGGGTTCTGCAGACTGCAAGAGAGGGCTGCAATCTCCACACCCAGGATGCTCAGAGAAAACGCCTACACCTGAGCAGTCTAAACAGCAGCTTTCCCTTTTGATTGCTTGCCCTCTGGTGATGGAGCTGGCTGTACAACTGAAGAGCTCGGGCCTGTGCCATAAGTCAGCCCCACCAAGGCATGTTGTTGGCCCCCTCTCCCCTCAACGGGAAACGGTCCAGATTATCGCTATGCCCTCCTGAATTGTTGCCAGAAGTAAACAGAGTCACCCCTCCCTGGGAGGAAAGGAAGCGAGGGAAAGCCGGAGTGTACTGTATTACAAATTCGGTGTTCATAGAGGAGCCCTCTCGATGACGAGCCAGCACATTCAGGCCCTTTAATCAAACGGGGGGGGGGGGGGCAAATGAGTTCATCCTTTCAGGAGGCCCAGATTCTTTCACAAAGAATGAAGAAAGGGGCGAGTCCCCCCTCCCCCGCCGGCTGTTGTTACCTTAACCCGCGTCTCGATCCAGTGCCAGGCCTCCCTCCCTCGCCGTTTCTACGCATGCCCCGCACTTAGAGCTCGACCATCCCCTTGCCTGAACCTATTGGACTTATGGGGCGCTACAGAGCCCAGGATCGCGAGGGCAGGTTAAATGCCTTCTCACCCGGATGTTACTCAAGCAAGCGTTTTCCTCCCCTCCGCCTTTGCAGGCGTGTGGCAAAGGAAGGGGAGGCTCCCTATCCTTTTCTGCGGTTGCTTCGTCGCCGCTAAAGCTACTGCCACTCTTCTTTACCACCTCCCGCATGTGCACATGCAGTTCACTTCTTACTGACCGTACTGCTTTGACTTTGAGTAGTGACTAACATGCAAAGCATCGAGCAGATCTGAAACTTTTTTCCTGAAATGGGAAAGAAGCGATGAGGTAAAGTTTAACATGTTTAATTTCTGCGCTTCAACCTGCTGTTGAAAAGGCACAGAAAGTGCAAGACTAATAAAAGCAGTTTCTCATGATCGCTACACAGGACTCTTCTTCAGATGTTTGAAAAAAAAAAAAGTAAAAATAATGCATGTTTCAATCAGGGCCTTATGTAAAACCTTTGCTTGTAACAATGCTAGTTGGCCCTAATACACGTATATTCACTAAATCCTACCCTATCTTTATTTCCTCTTCGTAGTCATTAACATAATCACTGTTCCACAGACAAGCACAGAAAGAGATTAGGAAGGCAGAGTCAGAGGTGGCTGCATAGAGTCATGAGCAAAAGCCTAATATATTCTGCTGTGTGATGTTTTCACATTTATGTCACTATGGCATGACTCACCTTTCAGAGATCCTAGATAACATCCTTCCTTACTGCCTTAAAAGAGATCACCATGGGCTCTTTAGAAATATAAAAAAGTTACATGATGAAAAGCACGTTGCAATGGCTAAAATATTGGGTTAGGACTGGAGAAATCTAGATTCAAATCTCAATGAGGAAACTTACTGGTTGCTCTTGAACAGGACACTTGTCAGTCCATCTTGAGATTTTCTGTGAAAATAATAGATATAGAAAAATTATAAATAAATAAATAAATAAGCTACCTCACAAGTTGGTGGTCAGCTCAAAGGGCCTGAGAAGGAAAACCACATATGCCACCATGAGTTCCATGGAAGACAAACAGAATACAAAAGTAATATATAGATATATCTGTTTGGGTACAGCAGCTTCTGTGAATTCCAAATTTGCCCCCATACTACAATAAGAACTTAATTGTTTCAGCATTTTCAATGTAGGCAATTTCTAATAAGAGAGCCCATCACCATGGGCTCTTTAGAAATATAAAAAAGTTATATTTTATATCAAAAGTTTCATCAAAAGTCCATCAAAAGTTCTTACAATTTTGAGAACTTCAATCTGTCATTACTGGCAAAGTAAAAGGGTCCACTATTAGGTAATGCAATCTGATAGAAGGAAAATGTAAATGTAAGCTAATTTGGTGTTACATTTAGGAAAATAATTTCCAGACAGAAGTAGAGGTGGAACATTGGCATAAAATATGGGAGATCATCCAATTCTTTCATAGCCAGAAGTATGGCTTCTAGATCAAAAGAAGTATTACTACCACTCTACACGACTCTGGTGCGCCCGCAACTGGAGTATTGTGTTCAGTTTTGGGCCCCTCATTACAGAAAGGATATAGCCAGGTTGGAGTCAGTGCAGTGTAGGGCCACAAGGTTGGTGGCCGGTTTGCAGGGGATGCCTCATACGGCATCC